GGGAGTAGCTGTTGTCTCAGCTATTTGGGAGGCTGAGACAGTCTGCCAAGGGTGATAAAGTGAGACTCTGTCTCTAAAAAAAATGGGAGGCTGGGAGTAGCTGTTGTCTCAGCTATTTGGGAGGCTGAGACAGTCTGCCAAGGGTGATAAAGTGAGACTTTGTCTCTAAAAAAAATAAAGAAAATTATATTCTGTGTCCCCAGATTTTTCCTGAATATTTCTAGTAGATGGGAGGTAAGGCAACAAGGAGATGGTTATGGGAAAATGTTTGGGTAGAGGAAAGAAGACCATGGGCAAGGTCCAGGAGAGGCCAGCAGTGGACAGTGACATGACTTCCAGGATACTTGTTTCTGTGTCAGTTGATTTCAGGAAAAACTACTGTGTTTGTCTTTCAGGTAAAGCTTGAGAGCAACTTTGCCTCCATCGTGTTTGCCATCATGGTGTTGGAGGGGCTTGGCCGCTCACTGGACCCCAGTCTGGACATCCTGGAGGCAGCAAAGCCCTTCCTTCTTAAAGGACCAGCATCTTCCCCCTGACAGTGGCAGTGGGCTCAAGAGCTGATGGCTACTCCCAAGAGCCTTTCCTGTGGCAGCTGGAATGTTTTAAAACTGGGACATGTGGCAGGCACAGAGAAGACTGATTTGGATTCAGGGTGTTTTAAAGCTTTGGGTTATCTGGTGAGTCAAGGGAAGGAATGGTCCTACCTATTTGGTTATGGAAGCTGGGCCATGTGCCGAACACTCTATTTCAGGGAAAAAGTTCTGAAGAGGAGAATGAATAAATTTATTTTGTTTTTTTCTCTTCTCTTCTTAACTGTCTAAACTCCTGATTTAGGTAGGTCCTACTGGCAGTTCTGATATTCTGATATTCACGTTAGAAAATGCTGTAAAACCCTGTTGACCCATGGTGCCAATTTTTTTTTTAAATTTTTGCCCTTATTGGTAACAATTTGAAAATACACAAATACACAATTTATACAATTCATTTATAAATTTCATCTAGGTTTATCATGACTAGCAAAATCTATCCCAGCACAATATACACATAGGGCAGATTTCACTGTACTTAGAACTATCTTCTTAATTAATTTTGCCAACCTCTTGGTCAAATTTATTTTGAGGTTAAAACAAAACTGATTAATGTGGCTACTAGACCCAGGACCAGAGCACAACAGCTTGGCCATTTCCTTAACGTTGCCCCGGGCTTGCCTTTCAGTGCCTGTGTGTGCTTTCTCTGCTTCAGCGTCTATGACATCTGTTTTGCTACGGTTAACTTGGGTTAATATCAACATAGAGTTAACATAACCAGTGTGTCCTCTTTCTAAGGACTGTTCCCAGTGATACAACCAATGCTACCTGCCCCATTCTGCCGGGCCCATCCACAGACAGACCATCCTCTCAGAGCTGATCTGACATGTGGCCAGTGTCCGCCTGTAGACAGGATATCTGTAAAGCTTAATTTCTTCTCACAAAGTGAGACTCTGTATCAAAAAAAAAAAAAAAGCAATAGATATTGTCTCACAGTGTCTTTGTGTTAGAAATCTGGGTGCTGCCAAGCTAAGTCCTCTGGCTCAGGGTCTCTCCTGAGGCTGTGAAATCTTGAGGCTCCACTGGGGTGAGTCCGAGGCCAAGCTCACTTGGGGTTGTTGACACGATCCTATTCCTTATTGGATATTGGACTGAGTGCCTCTGTTCTTCAGGGGCCACTGCAGCAGCAATAGAAAAGGAACGCAGCCTTTCCACTTGGCTATTCTCCTGCTGAAAAGGGTTACGAGCTGCCCTAGCACCCATGCCACGTTACCCTGAACCCCGCGTCTGCACACAGTATCTGGCCCACAGTAGGGTGCTCCGCAATAAAGTGTCATACCAAAGTACGAACTGGCAGGTGCTTCAGCTTGGAAGAGTTAAGGGTGACTGGAATCCACAAGAAGGTGGCCAGAACGATGGGTATTTCTGTGGATTTGAGAAGGTGGAACAAGTCCTCCGAGTCCCTGTAGGCTGATGGGCAGTAGCCAGAGGAGTGCCATGCCAACCCAACCTCTTCCCCAGGAAGCCCCTGGCCTCCAAGAAGGGAGACAGTTCTGCTGAAGAACTCAACTTGGCCACCCAACTGACAGGACTAGTCATGCCCCTATGGAACATCTACAAGAAGGAGAAAGCCAGGATCACTGCCAAGGGGAAGAACTTCAAGGCCAGTCTTTGGCCTGTGCCAATGCGTGGCTCTTTGGCACGTGGGCAAAAAGAGCCAAGGAAGCTGCAGACTAAGATGTTGAAAAAAAAAAGATAAAGCCCTGTTGGAGACCTGTAATAAGCAGGAGAAAAGAAAAGGAACACAGGCTATACCAAAGGGGAGAAAAATGGTAACAGATGAACTTTAATAAATATAAATGATTTGCGGCTTTAAAGAATAAGTATCTTAAAATAAGTTATCTTAGAACACTTAAGCTACTTAATCAAGCCAAAGGGCACTAAAAAGAAAAAAAAGAAATAAGATATGTAGGTTAGGTATCTTAAGTATGGAATTTGATTTCTAAAGGCATCTCGACATCCTTGGGTGTAAGTGGGTAAAGTGGCAGCCTGGCATTTCTCCTGAAGAGCTACTGCAACTCAATCCCCTCTAACGGAGAAAGTCCAAGGTTCATTTCAGGGTTGCTAAAACCACTGGAGAAATGAGTTCCTTTCTTCTTTCTAAGACTCAAAGGGAGAGGAAAAATAAGAGCCTTTCACAGTAAGGAATTAAATCGACATGAGGTTTTATGAACCATTTTTTCCCTTATCTTTGTTTTTTTGTTTGTTTTGAGTCAGTCTCACTTAGTTGCCCTTGGTAGAGTGCCATGGCATCATAGCTTATAGCAACCTCAAACTCTCCTGCTCAAGTGATCCTCTTGCTTCAGCCTCTTGAGTAGCTGGGACTATAGGTGCCTGCTATAACTCTTGGTCATTTTTTTAGACCCAGGGTCTCGCTTTTGCTCAGACTGTTCTCAAACTCCTGAGCTTAAGTAATCCACCCACCTTGTTCTCCCCAGAGTGCTGGGATTACAGGCACGAGCCACCTCACCTGGCCATCCTCTTTGTTTTCAAGTTCCAGCTATGAAATAGCTTGTTGATTTTGGATTAGATGCTATATATTAGGTCACTCAGAGTCTGTTCCTATAGTTTGCTGAAGTTTGGGGATTTGATTTATACTTAGAAGCAGAGCACTTAGAGCCATGAGTTGGCATCCCTTCACTTTCTGGAATATTCCATTCAAATAAGAGTGCTCATGTGATAACCAAAAAAGAGGGTCATTATGCAACTTGCAAAAGAGGACAAGGGGTATTTGCTCTTGGAACAAATATGCTTCCCTATTACATAGGCAAAATAGTTCATTGATTTGGATCATAAACTTTATAGTAAAAAACCAGATGCAAAATAAGGCTAAGGACCCACATATGGTATATTTGGATCAATATTGCTATAAATACAGTAAGCATTAAAGTCAAAATAGATTTTTTTTTGGTAATTCAGTAAGGAAGATGATGAGGGTGAATGAATTTTAGTTCCCCTCAACCACTTTCCTACCAGGAAAGGAAGAGATAACAAGGGAATAAAAATTTGCGTACATGCTGTAGGCTGGAAAGTATCTTAAATGACTCTCATTTGGATGAGAGGGCACCAGCCTCCAACAGGTAAAGAGACTTGTCCAAATTCATAGAGTTTATAATTGGCAGAGCTTAAGTTTGAACTCTAGATCACCAGACTCCCAAGTTCTAATGCTCTTCCTGTGGCCTTGGAATCATGGCCTTGCTCTTTGCTGGGAGCAGGGCTGGTGTGTAGCTTGGGCAGCCGGCTCCCCAGCAATGGTGGAAAGCCCCTGTTCTTAGGTTATGGACTTTGTATCTTAGTAGTTTGTAGATGTCACTAGAAAGGGTAACTTGTGAATAGTAGCCAAGGAAAGCCACCTATTGCATATCAACTGGAAAGTCAGCTTTCATCCAGAAAATAGTGGACGCTTTTCTGTAGTTTATACACCACTTGAAGGTTAGAAGGGCAGGAGAACAGGGGTACACAGGTTGGTTCAGAAAGGCCCAGGGCAGGGGCCGGGCATGGTGGCTCACGCCTGTAATCCTAGTGCTCTGGGAGGCTGAGGCAGGTGGATTTCCTGATCTCACAGGTTTGAGATCAGTCCGAGCCAGAGCGAGCGAGACCTCGTCTCTAAAAAGTAGCTGGGCGTTGTTGGCGGGTGCCTGTAGTCCCAGGTACTTGAGAGGCTGAGGCAAGCGAATCGCTAAAGCCCAAGAGTTTGGGGTTGCTGTGAGCTGTGACGCCGCGCACTCTAGCCTGGGGGCGAGGGGAAGCATTCTTGATGCAGATTCCTTGGCCCTATCCCAGACTTAGTACAGTGGTTGGGATCCTCAGGCGATTCTGATAGCACCACTCTACGTACTGATATTTGGAAACCCGTGGCTGCTGATTAGTAACCAAGTTCCAGGTTGCAGAACAGTACAACAATGAGGACTTTCCAGACACCGCTGTGAGCCTCTCGGAGGACTTACACGGGACTACTTTGGGAAGGACCACCGGATCAGCTAGTCAATACAGAAGGAGAGAGCAGAGTGGCAGGTGCAGATTGGAAACATCGTCTACGTCAGCTAAGGCGGGGAGGAACATCGGACTGAGTGTAGTTTCGCGGCACAGGCATAACAAAGGGGGGCTCCCAGAAAGAAGAACCCTGGGGGGCTGGCCAGGCCGAGTCAAGAGCCGGCCCCCAAAGTGAGCCCAGCCTCCTTCCCAGAGCGAGCTGGGGGCTCCTGCCAGGCGACGCCTGAGTTTGCCGGAAGCTCTCGTGTCAGCGCAGCCTTGAAACGGCCGGGGCACAGGAGAGGCGACGCGACCCTACAAGCCCGAATGGGGGCGGCGCCGCGGTAAGGAAGAGGCCGAAGGTCCAACTTCAGACCCGCGCAGCGGCCGCTTCTGCCCCTCGCGGGTGGGGCGCGGGGAAGTGACGTCACGGCGCCGGTGCGGCCAGGGGACGGTCGTCGGGACACTGGCGAGCATGTCGGCTGTGGCTCTCGTGGCGCCTTTCGTTCGCGTTGGAGGCCGCCTCTTAAGAGGCTGCCGCGCGCCGGCGGCTGGAGGAGGCGGAGTCCGGCAGTGAGTTTAGGCCGGGACCGGGGCTTTGCTGGCTTCTAGCCGAAAGCGCCGGAGTGTGGGACGCGCTCACCTTGACAGGGCCTCGGGAGCGGGCGCGGACGCGCGGCCGGCTGGGTCCTGTAGTGCGCGCGCCGAGGGGCTCCGGGAGGCGGCTGGCGCGGCAGACGGGACACAGTATGTGGGGCCACGCTGTCTCCGGGGCGCCTGCGTTCGGGAGAGTCATCGCAGATGTGCGGACGGGCTGAGCTGGAACGGAGCGCGCTGCCGCGAAGGAAGCAGCCTAACCCGCGCGGACGCAGAGACGTCTGGAGCGAGGCAGGGGGCGAGGCAGGAGGCGAGGCACAGGGAGGAGCTCTCGAGAGTCCCCGCGTCTGGCTAAGGACTTCAGGGTTCAGACGATTGAGCTTGTTGGGATTTTTTTTTTCCTTTGAGACAGAGCCTCACTATGTCGCCCTTGGTAAAGCTGTGGAGTCAGTCACAGCTCACAGCAACCTCAAACTCTTGGGCTTAAGTGATACTTTTGTCTCCGGTCCGAATAGCTGGGACTACAGGCGCCTGCCAGAACGCCTGGCTGTTTTGTTGTAGTTGTCATTGTTGTTTAGCAGGTCCCGGCTGCGTTCCAACCCACCAGCCCGGTGTAGGTGGCCGGCGCCCTAGCCGCTGAGCTACAGGCGCCGAGTCCTTGCTGGGAAATTTTAATCAGAGATGTTGTGTGGCTAGCTTTAAATTTTGAAAAATCACTCTATTGCAGGGTGAGGATTCAGTTTTGTAAGGCTCGAGAGTGGAGGCGACCCACCCAGAGAATGTGTCTCTGAATGGCCAGATTCAAATCCCACATCGCGGCAGTCTAGCTGTGTGACCTTGGCAAAGTTTCTTAAACTCTCTCTCTCTCTCTTTTTTTTTTAATATTTTCAATTATAAATAGTTATTATTTTTATTTCTTATAGCATAACTGTGTACATTAATGCAATCATGGAGTACAGTGTGCTGTTTTCATATACATTTTGACTTAAACTCTTAATGTCTCAGTTTCCTTATCCATTTAGTAGGGATAATGTCTCTTTCCAGGGAACTAAATGAACCATTTGTCCTCTAGTGTTTAAAACAGCTACAGGATGCTAGGAAGGATCAAACAAGTATTATTTATCTGTTGCTAGAACATTGGAGTGACTTGCCTGAAGTTCCACATCAATTAAGAATCTGGAGCCGGGGCAAATGTGAGGTGGTAGGAAGGAAAAGCCCCGTATGACCTGGATAAAGATAGTGATGGAGAGACACCAGCAATAGCCCTTGACCACTCTGCATGAGAGCTAGGGGCACTCCCTTCACATTTATTTCAGTGCATGATATTTCCTTACAGTCTGGAGAGATGACTGAAACCAGTAGAAAAACGTTTTTAGTACTGTTAAGGGGCATGAGAAGAGTACAACAAAGGATTAATGAATGGCGAATATTGTACCTGGGATGATGTGACTACTGGAGAGTTTGATTTGTACTGGGATCTGAGGGATTGGAAATCAGCCTTGCAAACATCACGGGAAGAGCCTCCCAGACAGAGGAGGCAGTAAGTGGAGAGGTGGTGGAGACAGGTCAGAGAGTGGAATAGGTGCTGAATTAGGGAGTGCCTTGGAGGACAGGGAATTTTATTTGAAGAGTCACTGGGAACCCTTGAATGCTTTAAAGCAGGAAAGTAATGTGGTCAGATTTATGTTTGAAAATTGTAACTTTTGGCCATGTGGCTCACACCTGTAATCCTAGTACTCTGGGAGCCTGAGGCAGGTGGACTGCTTGAACGCATGAGAGACTAGCCTGAGCAAAAGTGAGACCCCATCTCTACTAAGAGTAGAAAAACTGAGGCAAGAGGATCACTTGAGCCCAGGAGTTGGAGGTTGCTGTGAGCTATGATGCCACAGTACTCTACCCAGTATGACAGCTTGAGACTCTTGTCTCAAAAAAAAAAAAAGAAAGAAAAGAAAAGAAAAGAAAAATGTAACTTTTGGCTCTGGTTGTGGTTCAGGTATGCAATACCAGCACTTTGGGTTACCAAGGTGGGAGGATAGCTTGAGGCCAGGGGTTTGAGGCCAGCCTGGGCAACATAGTGAGCCAGGACGCTGTATCTACAAAAAAAAAAATAAAAATTAAGGCTGGGTGAGGTGGCTCACGTCTGAAATCCTAGCACTCTGGGTGGCTGAGGTGGGTGGATTGCCTGAGCTTATGAATTCAAGACCAGCCTGAGCCAGAGCAAGATTGCATCTCTAAAAATAGCCGAGAGTTGTGGCAGGCACCTGTGGGAGGCTGAGGCAAGAGAATTGCTTAAGCCCAAGAGTTGGAGGTTGCTGCGAGCTATTACTTTACTGCACTCTGTCTAAAAAAAAAAAAAAAAAAAATTAGCTGGGCATGGTGACAGGCTCTCGTAGTCCCAGCCACTTGGGAATAGCTTGACTCCTCAGCCTCCCAGAGTGCTAGGATTATAGGCGTAAGCCACCTTGCCCGGCTAAAACCTAGAATTTTTGTGTCAAGTTTTGAAAAAAAACAACCAGTTTTCTGTTTCATTCAGTTTCTTCTTTATGGGGCTCACTCATAATGTCATGTTTGCTTTTATTTTTTGACAGTAAACTCATTTTCTCTGGAACTTCTTTGAAATCTTACTTCTCCTAGCCTCTTAAGGGTGCCATCAATCCAAGATCACTTTAAGTTGTTGGCTTGGGGTCTTTGAACTAGGTCTAACCCACACAGTTTGGATTTGGGTACAAACCTACCTGAGGACTGGCTTCTGTTTTTGTTTTGTTTTGTTTTGTTTTTGAGATAGAGTCTTAAGCTGTTGCCCTGAATAGAGTACTATGGCATCATAGCTTACAGCAACCTCCAACTCTTGGGCTCAGGAGATCCTCTTGCCTTAGTTTTTCTATTTTTAGTAGAGATGGGGTCTTGCTTTTGCTCAGGCTAGTCTCAAACTTGTGAGCTCAGGCAATCCACCTCTTGGCCTCCCAGAGTGTTAGGATTACAGGCCTTAGCCACCGTCCCTGGCCTTGGCGTCTGTTAATAGTTTGTTACAGTGCCATTAACAGCCTGTTTTGGAACATAACTTAATTAGGTGTTTGCTGAATTTTTGCATTCCTTAATCATAGCAATTGTGTGATCTGTTCCTTTTCTATAATTTTCTATAATTGAGGTCTTTTAAATCTTTGTTCGAGAAGATATTCACCTTGCAGTTTAATGGCCTGCTTACTTCAGGTCATAGTTTAAACCACATCACTTTAGCAAGAATGCAGTGTGGAGAGTTGCTGAGATGGATTTGAACAACAATCCCAGCCTTACCCAATCTTTTTTTTTTTTATTTTGAGACAGAGTCTCACTTTGTCACCCTTGGTAGAGTGCCTGGGTGTCACAGCTCACAGCAACCTCAAACTCTTGGGCTTAAGCGAGTCTCTTGCCTTAGCCTCCCAAGTAGCTGAGACTACAGGTGCCTACTACAACAGGCTATTTTTAGAGACAAGGTCTATTTTAGAGACAAGGTCTCACTCTTGTTCAGGGTGGTCTCAAGCTCAGGCAACCCATCAGCCTCGGCCTCCCAGAGCAGGGGTCCTCAAACTTTTTAAACAGGGGGCCAGTTCACTGTCCTTCAGACTGTTGGAGGGTCGGACTGTGGGCCCTGGAAGGAGTTGGCTGCTAAGCAGGACAGGCAGCGGTGGCAAAAACACCCGGTGGGCTGGATAAATGTCCTAGGCGGGCTGCATGTGGCCCGTGGGCTGTAGTTTGAGGATGCCTGTCCCAGAGTGTTAGGATTACAGCGTGAGCCACCTCGCGCAGCCCCAAATCTTATTTTAATGAGTTTTTACCGATGACGCTTTATGCCTAGATTGTATCTGTAATCTTTTAATAAGAGGAAGGCTATCATATGCTATGTTGAATTATCTTGCATGGTTTGTTTACATAATGGAATATCTATATGTACAGATCCTGAATAAATACTGCTAAATATAATTAATATATGAAGACATTATAGAAACAACATACTATATTCTTCAGGTTGTAAAGTGGTCGTGTTTGATGGAAACCATTAAATGTAATGTTCAAAAAGATACATATTGGCTGGGTGCCTGTAGCTCAGTTAGGGTGCTGGCCGTATACACCAGAGCTGGTGGGTTCAACCCAACCTGGGTCTGCTAAACAACAACAAAAAAAGATACAAACACATATGTATGTATGTACACAGATACCTGCAAAAAGAACAAACACCTATATGGGTGGCACCTGTGGCTCAAAGGAGTAGGGTGCCGACTCCATATGCTGGAGGTGGCAGGTTCAAACCCAGCCCTGGCCAAAAACTGCAAAACAAAAACAAAAAACCCATCTATCATATAATCTGTAATTATTTTAGAGACTTCCAAATACAAGTTTTATGTATTAGATAAGTATGTACACACAAGTGGAATTTTATTTGAGTATGGTAACGTTGGTTTTTATCATGCTGATTGGAATTTTTTTTTAAAGAAACAAGGTCGGCTAGGCGCCTATAGCTCAACCGGCTAAGGCGCCAGCCACGTACACCTAAGGTGGCGGGTTCGAATCCCCAGCCCGGACCCGCCAAACAACAA